AGTTTAATATTAATAAACAAAAACAAAAAATGCGATTTAAAACATCAATAGACACAAATAAAATTCGGTATCTACGAATAGGTCTTATATGTTGACAATTGCTTCACCATTCTGGAGAATGAAACCGAACCATTCTTTCCATTATGTGCACTGCAGACACGGCTGCATTAATGTTGTAGCAGATGTTCCAGATATAAACTGGCATTTCGATATTTCTATATGCTTTACTAATATGGGTCAAAAGTTGCAACTGAGATTCCTGTCCCCTTGATCACTTGTTGAATCTTTTATAAAGACCGCAATAGAATGGGTAATTAGATGTTCCAAACAAAAGGAATATTCACAGCTCATCCCTCATATTATTAGGTTTAAGGCAATTGATACGTTCACATTCATTTTTCCTTTATAAAATCGAACTGTCCCTTGACCACTCAATGTTCTTGAGAATACAGGATCCCTACGCCAAGACAGGGGAGCCATTGATAACCTTGTGCGCTTTGGGGGGCTATCAACCTAGTATTATAAACTTTAATTACATATGCCAGAAAATTGGCAATAAGTTATTCTCAAATTTTCAAAAAAAAAAAAAGAAAAAAGGAAGAAGAAATAATGTGAAGGGAACTATGGTACAATCTTCGAAGCAACTAAAGGGAATGGATAGATCCTCTTGAATGGTGACCCCTTGCTAGAAATGCTATTTCATGAGCAACTAGTCATCGGAGTTCTCATACCGGATTGAGCAATGGCGTACGAAAGGCCCCTTCTTACATTCCTCCCTCGGTGAATGAAAACCTTGCATGGGGTCTTACTTGGTGATCAGATCCACATAACGGCTTGAGATGCAGTTGATCATTCACAATATTACGACAAACTGTAAAAATGCAATGACAGAATTCTAAAAAAGAAAACAAAATCGTAAAGAATTAATACATAAAAAGGAAAGAAAGAGCAGAAATACGGTTTGAAACTCACACGACAAGAAATTTCCTAAATAGGCTGTGATGAGAACGCTGGAGGTCGGCAAGGTTAGGGAAAACCTCAGCAGCGGACCAAGAATCGAGAGAGGAAAGAATATCTTTGGGCTGTTTGAGAGACGAAAGCTTCACCACCAAATCGGCATGGTTGTTCGCAGCGGTGAGGAGTGAGAGGGCTAGGTCTCTAGAACCTGCAATGGCCATGGCTTCGGCTTCCCCCCGGAGAATTTTTGATCGATTTTGGGCGGGGATTGTTGGAAAGGGGGGGAAAGGGTTAGGGTTTTGAGGAGAGAGGGGTTTGGATTGGAGGGAGCATAAACATAAATTTCTTGGTAGGCCTGGTAGTTGATTAATTATATTAATTGTAGGTGATATGCTGTCAGTCGCTGAGTGCAAAAATAACTGAACTTTGTATTTTCCACACTAAAAGCGAATTTCCAACGATACCCTCCTTGATCCGATATAATAACATACTTTTTTTTTTCCGGAGAAACTAGCTGAACCTTTTAACGGATAACAGTTACAAACTGCAACGGGCAGTTGTACTTCAATTTTCAATCTTCAACCAATATCAAATCTAGGATCAGGGTTAGGGTTAGCAAAAGAGGGGAAACCAGAAAATGGAAGGCTGGGACCCGAACACAAAGTCGACGTTGACTCAGATCCCGTTACTGACGACGAAGGCCGGTCCCAGAGACGGAGCGGCATGGACTCAGAGGCTGAAAGAGGAGTACAGGGCTCTGATTGCCTACACGCAGATGAACAAGTCCAACGACAATGATTGGTTCCGAATATCCGCTGCCAATTCCGAAGGGACACGTTGGACCGGCAAGTGTTGGTACGTCCATAACCTCCTCAAGTACGAGTTCGATCTCCAGTTTGATATCCCCGTTACTTATCCGGCCACTGCTCCCGAGCTCGAGTTGCCGGAACTCGATGGCAAGACTCAGAAGGTGAAATTTGATTTTGATTTTGCTTTTTCTTTTTCGTTAATTGCTTGGTTTGCTAATTACTTTTGTTTTTTTGGCAGATGTATAGAGGAGGGAAGATTTGTTTGACCGTGCATTTCAAGCCACTTTGGGCAAAAAATTGGTATGCTGAATTTTAGGTTTTCTTTTTTTTTAAAGTTAGTTGTTTTAATTCGTCGATTTTTATGTTCTCATGATTTATTTCGGTATGAAGGAAATTAGGGATATAGAAAGTAGAAGAATTCAACTTGGTATTTATGTGCTTGTAGTGTACAATTACTAATCTAGCTGTTAGGTTTTGATGGGAAATGGAATCCAAAATCTAAAATGGAAGTGACTTGAATTAAGTAGTTGTTAATGTACTTATGAGCAAAATGTGACCTTTGATCAAGTAGAGGATGTTTACTTGATTCTGTCTGTATTTATAATCATTGTGGGAAAATTTCTATTTTAAATACACCAATCATTCTTGAGCTATTTTCCCATGTTCAATTTCATAGTTGAATGATTATTTATCCTTTCAAGAACTTGATACATTCAATGTTTGTCCAATTCAGGCAAATGATTTGAAGTGTTAGTTCTTTCTGATGGAGTCTAATAGGTAGCTGCAAAACTAGGTTGATTTTGATTGAAAAGTAGAGGAAATAGAATCTGAAGTTTTATATGTAAAGGTTGAGGAAGATATAGAGGGCAATTCTGAGAGGCGTAAGAGTTGAAAAAGAGATTTTAATGTGTTAGTATTATGCAATCCTGTTTAAAAGTGCAGTATGTTTCATCATCGTACTTGTTTTAACTCCATTAATATGTGGCATACATCGAATGAGAAATGAAGTTCAATTATCTGATTGCTCAATCCTTTGTTACTGGATTAACTGGAATTCAGCCATAGTTTTAAGGATAACTTGTGTTATAACCCTTTTGAACTTATTCATATTGTTTCTGCTGGAAATGTTACTCAATAGTTCTATCTTCTCTGATCTTGTTGCACAGTCCTAGGTTTGGTATAGCACATGCACTTTGTTTGGGTCTTGCTCCATGGCTTGCTGCAGAGATTCCCATTCTTGTCGATTCTGGTATGATCAAGCATAAGGATGACGCAGCCTCATCTAATGAGTCTTAGCATTTCTGATGTTAAAGGTGTACCTTGAGTTTCAGAAATAAACTCTCAGGCATGATTATACATTTTTACCGAGTGGCTTTTGATAGTGTCAAATTTCTGTTATGATCAGATAGATAATGTTGAAACTTCTTATTACTTTTGGAATGCAAATAGGATCTAATATTATTATCGAATGCATTTGTCAAGATTGATTTATGTTAAGTCTGTCAAAATTTAACTCTTTCCTTTAAGGGGTGGGTGCTTCTCCACTCCTTGAATCAAATCCTGGTGCTGCATCTCCTCTTTATTATGATCCTATTCCTTGAGTTTTTTTCTTAAACTAGTATATTTCTAAATCTTAATTCCATAATAAGAGTAGTTTTAAACTTTATTACAAAATAAAGATACTTTCACTCAAATAAAATTCCACATCAGCTTTTATTCCACGTCATTATTTTCTTGCTTCAATATTCCTCCTTCATAACCAGAGGAATGGTTAGATGTCGATGCCGCCATATAACTAGCGTCATAGCAACCAGTTCCCTCAGAGATAAAATGAAATGGAAGGTACATGGAGTCCTGCTTACTATTTTCTTAGGCACCATGGACATCATAATCCCAAAACACTATGTCACTATCAGAGTTTCCACCTTCACCATCTTCTGCTCATTACCGAGTACCGTTTCCAGAATTACCAAACAAATGCTTCGATGGAATGCATGAAGAATATTTGTCGCTGTAATTAAATCATCATCCCCAATATGAACACCAGCCACAGTTTTGAGATAATGTAGTATGGATGTCAACTGGAGCTATTTCTGGTGATAAGGTTTGGTTACTAATCCATGTGCTAAATGCCCCCGAAACCAGGAAGCTTTCGTACTGAATGCAGATGGAAAATTGCTTTTTGAGTTTTATTCCAAAGATCAAACTGATCCCTCTTCTACGGTGAAACACTCGGTCATGAAAGAGGATGGATTTTGCAGCACCAATCGAACCGTCGTGTTCAGGAAGCGAGAAATCATGTACATGAGCCGGAAGAAGGAATGGCCGGTATGTTCCAGATGGTGCTGGCATGAATTTACCTCATGGGCATACAAGTTTAGTTGATGGCCATAATCTCCCAAAAATTATGCTCAACACCGAACTGGATATGAATAGGGGAATGAAGTTTTTCATCATCAAATTGTGATTCCTTCACCCCACGTCCACATTGCTCTTAAAGAACATAGAGTCCGTTGTGGGAATTATTCTTACCCTTCTAAAGGAGATAATATTTTTCAAACGTCACGTGAACATGTATATGCACAATCTTTATGGAGAAATGTTCAGAATCCATCTTATGATACAGTGGCATAGATAACCAACTCCACACTCTGTCATTATGAAACCAGTTCGATCTCCTCAAGACATGCTAAATTTTGCCATTTCCATAACTCGTTTGGTTGCCCGATCAACCTTCAACTTTAATCTATGATAAATCTATTTCCAGTAACAATCCCAAATCACGAGATGATTTTAATGTCATCGGAGCATTAAAGACAAAATTGTTCCCATAGAATAACGAAGCAAATCATGTAGTGAAGATGGAAAAGTCTGATATTTCAAGCATTTGCTGTTCGAAGCACCAAAAAAAAAAAGAGAGAGAGAGAGAGAGAGAGGAAGATGGCTGATGGCAATGGGCTGCACAGGAGAATGCGAATGCAGAGGATAGAAGAAAACACTGCTGACGTGAATAAAAAAATCTGATATGGAAGTCCACTGAGTCAAAGTATCTCTATTTTAGAATAAAGTTTAAAAACATTCTAACTAGGGAATTAAGATTTGAAAGAACCTTAGTGTGAGAAAAAACTCCCTATTCCTTACCCCACCGAAGAAAAGAAAAAAAAAAAAAGGGAAAATGTGCATGAGACAGAGTCGTGGCTCCGTGGCTGTGTTTTAGACTTTCACTATTATACTATCCTTTATTGGCACAAGAAAAATGCCACTACCTTCGTGGTCTAAAAGATGGCCCATAACCAGATTGGGAAATTGATTACTCATGGTGCTAAACAAGTTTTACAAATAACCTAATACAAGTTTGCAGCCGGATGGCCCAAAACAAGGAAAATTGTTCCGCACACAAGACTACTACTACAAATACTGTAATAACCTAATAAGAACCTGCACAACGCAGAGTGAAACCCATTAATGTCTAGCAAACTAGCAAACCCAGTGGAACCAAAATCCATAAAATATAAAATTTAGCCTCCTCCTCTTTTGTATGCTATAGTCCAAGTAAATCGCAGAAGCAGATAAATAATGGAAATGAATGACATTCCAAACAGATACTACTGTATCTTCTTGCCGCCCTGGTGTTACCTGCAGTAAGGGCCAAGAGTTATTTTGCGAGTAGCAATTTTATGGTTCTGCTTTTGCATTAAGAAAAAATTTTCAAATGCGGAATTCCACCAACTTTATGCAGGATTAATATTATCCACAGTTATGTCCAACAACACCTACTTACCAATTCCCATCGTCATTGGCTTAAATGGTACAACTTAGATCAGTTAGTTCCGTGATTTACCAAAACTATGTAAAGAAATAACAGTACGAAGATTCAAGCATGACTAAAAATCAATTATGAAAAACCAAAAAATGAAAAAAGAGAATGAACTAAATACAAAATCAAATCTAATATCATCAGGTAATGTTTACAGGTGAAATGAAAAGAAGTAATAAGAAAGAGTCTTACCTATGAACTTGAGGAGCTGGCTCCAGTGTCCTGTCTGTTTCCAGGTATTGATGTTCCCACATAAACATATGGGATGTGAGATATCTTCTGCCAATCCTCTCCTTCCCCTCTCTTGCATCGTTTTTCAAGTTCAGGACAATCTTTAATGGAAAGGTGTTGAAGTTGTTTGAGCTGCTGAATGCCTTCTGGAAGAGAATTTATATTTTGACAGTCTGAAATTGCCAAAGATTTTAGTGAAACGAGGTTGTTTACCTTTGGCAGTGCCATGAGTTTTGGACAGATACGAATTTCCAGATTTTGTAGCATCTTCATATGTTCAACTCCTTCTGGCAGAGATGCTAATTGTTGGCAACTTAAAATGGTCAAGCTCTTAAGTGCCAAGAGATTTTGCAGACCATCTGGTAGAGAAGCCAGATTCGAACAAAACATAATTGTTAGGCGCTCAAGGGCCGTGGCATGTTGCATTCCTGTTGGCAAAGAAGTCAAGCCCGCACAGTTTTCAATAGAAAGTGATCGGAGTGAGCTCAATCTTTCTAAGCTTTGCTCTGGCAGTGTACTTAATCTAGGACACTCGATAATATCCAGTGTCTCTAGAGAGATGAGATTTGTGAATCCATCAGGCAAACTTTCTAGCATCTCGCAAAAAGCAATTTTCAATGACTTCAGACCTCTGATTTTCCCCAAATTAGCTGGCAATGTTTCAAGGCTGGGACAAGAGGTAACTGTCAAAGAAATAAGAAAGCAACAGTTTTCCAGCAGTACTTTTGGTATGAAGAAACCGAACTCTCGAAAAGAGTCAATAACAAGTGTCGAAAGTGTTCTCAGCTCTGCTGCTGATCTAAGCAACAATGGATCACAGTCCTGCACCACTAAGCGTTGAAGAGTTGGAAACCATGGCATTGTTTTTAATAATGGACATTTCATGATGGATAGTCGCTTGAGGCGAGGGAAAGCTTCTGTTGAACCCATGCTTTCCCAAGTTCTAAGTTCAGGAAAGTCTCGAAGGATTAGTTCATTCAATGGTGGAAATGGCCTCATTCCTCCACCAGAGAACTCATCATTGATTTTCACCACTTTGTCCATCCCTTGGATGTTGAGACACTTAAGTTTTGGAAGTTGGCCAAGCTTGGGGAGAGTTTCACATCTTTTGCAGTTGATTAACTCAAGTTCTCTCAAGTTGCCGATATCAAAGTGATTCATCCAGTGTGGGAATTGGCGTCCTACATATCCATTTATTGACAACCTTCTTATATTGTAGTTAGGCTGAAGGCTTTCCATCAACTTTTCATCTAGTTCTTCGGTTTGTCTGATTTGTCTTGATGTGCTTTGGTTTAACTTATTTACCTTCATCACCATCACCCCTAAACAATCCCAATGTGTGAAGTTGCATACGTTTCAGATGCATATGGGTCCAGTCCTTAACATTCTCGAGGTGTTTAATTTTCAACTCACCTCGAAGATTGTTTAGATGGTCGAGGAATAAATACTCGCCAGCAATAACTATTGGTAAAGTCTGAAGCCTCTCTAGAAAACCAATAGAATAATAAGACAAGCGAGCAAGCCTTCCACAATCCCTTATGTTTAAATGTATCAGCTTTACTAACTTTATTATTTCTTTGGGCAACTCTAGCAGATCAGTGCAGCCTGAGAGTTCAAGTGTTCGCAAATTGCACAGATGACCAATTGTCTCTGGTAATACTTCAAGAAGAGTGTTTGAGAGGTCAAGATATCTCAAATATATCAAATCACCAATGGATCTAGGCGTCTTTTTTATGCCACTTCCACTCAAATTCAGAATTTTAAGGTGCCTAAAATGTGAAACTAGGTTTCTCAGGGATTCCATTGATATTTCTCCAGAAGCCAAGAGGTTGAGGGTACACAATTTATGTGCTTTGTACAAGACTTCTGGTAGCATATTGGACCTGTAATCACTCTCAATCAATGCATGTCGAGTTTCTGCAAGATGGCCACCACCAACTCCTTGTGCTTGATCACTGTTTTCTATTGTCAAGAACTCATTTCCAGCAACAGATTTTGCAAGATCATACATCAGATTAGGTACTTTAAATTCTACCACATTGCTATTGCTTGAGAGTTGGAAAAATGACATCTTCAGTAAATCGTTGAAGCACTTATTGCCAATGTCCTCAAGCGTGTTAGGATAATCACCTGCAGATAATTGAACTAAGCCTTCCGCAATCCACTGTTGGATTAACTTTTCCTTATTCAAATGATAATTTCTAGGAAATATGGCACAGTATGCAAAGCATCGCTTTAAATGTGATGGCAAATGATTGAAACTCAACCTCAGGACAGATAATATTCTTTTCTCACCTGCATCAAGGTTCCATAGGTCACTATTTTGCACACGCATCCATTCAGCTTCCTCTCTTTCGGACCGTAACGCGCGACCGAGAACTTTAGCTGCTAAAGGCACACCATGGCACTTCTCTACAATCTTCTGAGCGATAGGCAATAGATTTGACTAGGAATCTTCTTCCCCATATGCAAAGGCATGGAGCTTGAATAGGGTCCAACAGTCATCTTTGGTTAGGGCTTCCAAATGGTGGGGAGGAGTACTACTCATTGCAGAAGCAACTTCTTCACTCCTGGTGGTGACTATAATTTTGCTTCCTTCAGCTCCACATCTTAACAGGTTCCGTACTTTATCCCACTCTTCTTGAACATCATTCCACACGTCATCCATCACAAGTAGATATCTCTTGCCGTATAATGAGTCTCGGAATTGGGATTGCAGAACACTCATCACGGAGGATTCACACCTCTGCTCAGTCACACACTCCAAAATTTCACTAAGAAGCTTCTTTGTGTTGAAATTGTCATACAAAGAAACCCAAATTTTCTTATCAAAGTGTCCATCCAGACTCTGATCATTGTAAATCAATTGAGCGAGTGTCGTCTTCCCAATTCCCCCAATCCCGACTATTGGAATCACCCAACTATCAGCATCGGATGATAACAACAAATCAACAATCTTCTTCACGTCTTCTGTTCGACCAAAAACTTCTAATTCCTCCAAGTACGATCCAGTTTCCCGCTTCTCCATAGTATCTGATCTTTTATAAGCTACAGCTTCCTTGAAATGGAAGGTAGACATCTCTCTAGCTATTTCGTCCAATCTTTCAACAATCTCTGTCAGCCTACGTGACATTTCAAAGCTACTTAAGATTGACTTAAGAGTGAAAGAAGTGACCCGAACCTGCTTTCGAGTTTCTTCATATATCGATGCCCCAATTCTTCTAAACTTGTTTTTTACTGGATTTTCCATCACCATCTTTCCTTTTCCCTTTACCAACTGTCTCCGCAAAACTTGAGTGGTGATTTCATCCAGGAGATTATCCGCATCGTAAGCCACATCCCTAAGCTTTGATAGCCAAATCTTCACGTTCTTATCCTTCAGTTGTCTCTCCTCTGCATCTTCGATTACAGCTTGAATGATTAGCAGCTTTTCTTGTAACTTCTTGATATTCTTCTTTTGATCTTTAGAAGTTTCCACGGTGCTGAGATAAGAAGCCATATTCTCATAGATCACCTGCAGAAGAGGGGATACAATTAAGGAAGCGACTTCCATTCCTCAAGTGGGGGTTTAGTTTTGACCCAAAGTTGTGGCAAATTCAGGGATGGCCTTAGATTTCTAACAATAGCGATGGGTGAAGGATGGTCAAAGATAAGAGCAGAAGCTAAGAGAGAGGGAAGACAGATGCAGACGGAACAGAGAAGAGTATGACAGGGAGATGACCAATGGCTGACGTCAAGATCAGTTGTTAGGATGAGTCGAACTATGTAAAAAGATCCAATTTTTATGAAAAAATATTTTTTTAAGAAAAAATGTCATTTTTCAAAACTATATAAAAAGTAATTTTGACAAATAATAAGTTAGTGACCATCTTTAATAGTAAGTATATATTTTATAAATTAAGTTAATACTAAAATCATCTTACTAAGTATAATTTTTTGTACACTTAATTTAATAATAAAAATTATTATCATACTAAAATAATAATATCAACAGTTAATAATCTATTTTAACCGATGAATTAATTCATCTTAGATAATATTAAATATATAAAATGACTTATTTATAACAAACTGCTAAAGTTATAAAAATAGAAAGTGATTAGTGTTCACATCTCGAGCACTGTCGTGGATTTTTTTTAATTATTTTAATATTGAAATGTAAGAAAATATGTTAAATTATAACAATAAATCATACTTTTTAAATTGATAATATAAAAATTTATGTTTAAATAAGTATTATAATATAAAAAAATTAGGTATATGATTGACTTATAGTTTACTTTTTTTAAAATTATTTAAGGAATAAGTTAGAGATAATGTAACTTGTGTTATTGAGTCAAATAAGTTATAATGAACATTTTATTTAATAAATATGTTAAATTTAGATTACATTAAACACTAAGTATATTTATCTATAATTAATCGAATTCATAAATATTATAGATTCATAAATGATAAAATTTATAAATAATTAAATTTACTAATTTTGAATTTAATTTATAATTAATTAATAATAAATATGAATCTAGACTTAAAATTTTAAATAACACGAAACACTAAATACATTTATTCATAATTAATTGAGTTTATGAATATTATACATTCATGAATACCTAAATTCATAAACAATCAATGTATTTTTTAATATTAGATTAAATGTTATTAAATAAAATTTGATGACATGTAAAAAAAAACTAAAATAATAATTAAAATAATCCAAACATGATAAAAATAAAGCTGATACGATTGTATCTATGTGTCATAAAGATAGACAACATAGAATAAAAACATATTTATATTATATTTTAAAATTTAAGATTAAAAGAATGTGGTTTAATGGACTTCTATGATTTATTAATTTCTAAAATAGTTTTATACGTGAAAAACTTCATTGATTTAAAAAAAAAATCAAAATGATATTAATTTGTATATAGGATTTCTACTACTTTTTAATTTTTATATTTTCATAATTTCAAAAAGGGATTTTAAAAAATAGAAAATTAGTTATCAATTTTGTAAGTTTTCGGTTGACAAACACCAACTCCAACCAAGAACTCCTTTGAAAAGGAGTTATGGGCTAAATCTTGGGCCATCTGGTTGGACTCAGCTGAAGTTAGGTTCATATCTAGTCTACTGCTAAGTTGGGTTGGGTAGTAATTAATTAGATTACTTGAACAGCCCATTTAAAGGCCCATGATGTGAAAAATGTGGTACTATAATTTTATTACTTTTTGTTTGCGCATTTCAACCAAATGTATTAAATTTTTCTTTTTATTACTTATGGGCATTGAAGCCGATTACCGCATATCTTATCACTGTTCACTAGCTAGGGATTATACACAACCGTTTGGGGATATATATTATAATTAATTAATTCATGTAATTATTTTTAAAAAATAATATTCTACAAGTTTAAATTTTTTTTTTTTTTCAGATTGTAATTTTTTTAAAAAATACGATGTGGTATGAAACACGGTATATATAATCACGTGTAGGCTGTAGCCAATAGCTTTGGCATCAAGTCAAGATTGTTGAGTTTGATTAATAATTTGGTCTTACCTTATTCGGTTTGGTGATTAATCAACTGTTGAACTTACTTTCCCCACCTACGCTTCCTGGTATAACAAATATTTTGTTCTATATCTGATATAGAGAAAACCAAAACCAGTTGGAATATTAAACTATCAAAGTTAAAGTTAACCTAGTAACAAGTAGACTACATTAGTTTTCATCAATATAATTGTTTAACACTCAATCAGGATCATGCAAACGTAACCACTTGTCATTTTGCTTTTAGTCGAAGTATGCAGCTGAAGTACTGATAATATTAAAGTATTTGATCATTCCTTGAACTGGCCAGCTTCTAGCTGGGAAGAATCAAACTTTGTTGAAGAGAGGAATCGCGTTGGAATGTCGAATCCGTATCCAAATGATCTATAGCATGCACAGATAATTCCGGGCAAAAAGCTGCTACCTAATTTGTTTGTCTTGAACAGTGTTGCGAAACGACAGCTCAAGAATTAATCTATGAGCGACAACTTGTGAAGGATTCTTGGAATGCACTACAATCATTCATGTACTAAAATGAAAACAAAGAAAACTTTCAAGCTAAAGCTTCCCTAGTTGGAAAACCTCAATTTTCACTCTAAGAAAAATTTCTGAGAATCATTAAGCACGACTCCAAGTACTAAGTAGACATCTGTTATTGCTTTTGTAAAACACAATGTTGCAGGTACTTGTCCCATGGATTTTTAAGAGAAAAAAAATGAAAAAATTTGCAAATTAAAGTCTATTATATACCCTATTGAGCAACAAGGTTAGATTGTCGGATTAGATTTAGATATGGTAGGTCTTGAAATTAGGTCGAAAGTATTATATCTCTTCTAGAGTTGTGATAATTTGCCTTTAAACATTCTTTTGATGTGATGAAAGAATTTACATTTTAGGGAGGAGGTCTGAAATTGTGAGATCTTAAAGATTCAAGTTTTACTATACGTGAGATTAATCTAATTTTATATTGAATTTATCGAATTATATGTTATTTTGTTGATTAATTAATTTTTTATTTATAATACCTAAATATGATTAAAATATTTTTTAAATTAGTTATTTCATTAAAAAAAGTTACTTTTTAATATATTAAAAATTATACATAAAATATTATGACTTTTACTTATAAAAATTTGATTGAGATTATATATCAAGATATCATCTCAAACGAGGGTTATGTTTATAAATACCATTCATATAATTTTCATGTGCTAAGACTTGAAGACTTGATTTGTTATAGGTACTTGGTCATCAATTTATACTAAGACCTTTGGAATTAATGAGGTATTAGAATTAAGTTGAACAACATTTGTCTATGGTGGTGCACCCTGCCTAGCTATTCCTCCAATTATGGGAGGAAATTATCAAATTGCTGATCAACAATGCAAAGCCAAACAGCTTTAACAATAACAGTTAATTATCATTGTATTATTATTATTATTATTATAGAATCAAGCAAAGCTGCTCCCTCCAGATCTTAAAATGTAAGTATAATTAGGGATGATAATATATCGAGTTGAGATGAATTTTTATTCGTCTCAAACTCGATATAATTATATATATATATAAAATTTAAATTTGATCTGATTTTATAAATTTTTTATTTTTTATTCGAATTTAATATGATATAATATAAAATCGTATCCGATCTTACTTAATTTGAAATTAATCAAATATGTTTTAAATATAAAAATATTATTTTTAATATAAATATAAAATTAAATAAATATTAAAAAAATAATTTTATATATATTAGGCTGAATTAAATCAAATTTATTTAAAATTTAACCCAACTCAATTCAATTAAAAAAATATTTAACTTTAAAAAAATCAGATTAAATTAAAATCCATCCGATTCAGTTTGGACTACCTTCCCTAAATATAGTTGGCTGTCCACGACTAATTTGTAAGAAAAGTTGTGGCAACCACAGACCCTGAAAATTTTGAAATCCAATCCACTTCGCACATGGTCGCACTCATCTTATCTCTATCCTCACTGTATCTACCTACTCTACATTTGATCGATTTTGGGTGGGGATTGTTGGAAGGGGGGGGGGGAAAGGGTTAGGGTTTTGAGCAAAGAGGGGTTTGGATTGGAGGGAGCATAAACATACTTTTCTTGGTAGGCCCAGTAATTGATTAATTATATTAATTGGAGGTGATATGCTGTCAGTCGCTGAGTGCAAAATTAACTGAACTTTGCATTTTCCACACTAAAAGCGAATTTCCAACGATACCCTCCTTGATCCGATATAATAACAGACTTTTTTTTTTTCCCGGAGAAACTAGCTGAACCTTTTAACGGATAACAGTTACAAACTGCAACGGGCATTTATACTTCAATTTTCAATCTTCAATCAAAATCAAAAATAGGATCAGGGTTAGGGTTAGCGAAAGAGGGGAAACCAGAAAATGGAAGGCTGGGACCCGAACACAAAGTCGACGTTGACTCAGATCCCGCTACTGACGACGAAGGCGGGCCCCAGAGATGGAGCGGCATGGACTCAGAGGCTGAAAGAGGAGTACAGGGCTCTGATCGCCTACACGCAGATGAACAAGTCCAACGACAATGATTGGTTCCGAATATCCGCTGCCAATTCCGAAGGGACTCGTTGGACCGGCAAGTGTTGGTACGTCCATAACCTCCTCAAGCACGAGTTCGATCTCCAGTTTGATATCCCCGTTACTTATCCGGCCACTGCTCCCGAGCTCGAGTTGCCGGAACTCGATGGCAAGACTCAGAAGGTGAAATTTGATTTTGATTTTGCTTTTTCCTTTTCGTTAATTGCTTGGTTTGCTAATTACTTTTGTTTTTTTTGGCAGATGTATAGAGGAGGGAAGATTTGTTTGACCGTGCATTTCAAGCCACTTTGGGCAAAAAATTGGTATGCTGAATTTTAGGTTTTCTTTTTTTTTTTGCAAAGTGTGTTGTTTTAATTTGTCGATTTTTATGTTTCTCGTGATTTATTTCGGTATGAAGGAAATTAGGGATATAGAAAGTAGAAGAATTCAGCTTGGTATTTTATGTGCTTGTAGTGTACAATTACTAATCTAGCTGTTAGGTTTTGATGGGAAATGGAATCCAAAATCTAAAATGGAAGTGACTTGAATTAAGTAGTTGTTAATGTACTTATGAGCAAAATGTGACCTTTGATCAAGTAGAGGATGTCTACTTGATTCAGTCTGTATTTATAATCTTTGTTGGAAAATTTCTATTTTATGTACACCAATCATCCTTAAGCTATTTTCCCATGTTCAATTTCATAGTTGAATGATTATTTGTCCTTTCAAGAACTTCATTCATTCAATGTTTGTCCAATTCAGGCAAATGATTTGAAAGTGTTAGTTCTTTCTGATGGAGTCTAATAGGTAGCTGCAAAACTAGGTTGAGTTTGATTGAAAATTAGAGGAAATAGAATCTGAAGTTTTATATGTAAAGGTTGAGGAAGATATAGAGGGCAATTCTGAGAGGCGTAAGAGTTGAAAAAGAGATTTTAATGTGTTAGTATCATGCAATCCAGTTTAAAAGTGCAGTATGTTTCATCATCATACTTGTTTTAACTCCATTAATATGTGGCATACATCGAATGAGAAATGGAAGTTCAAGTATCTGACTGCTCAAACCTCTGTTAATGGATTAACTGGAATTCAGCCATAGTTTTAAGAATAACTGGTGTTATAACCCTTTTGAACTTATTCATATTGTTTCTGCTGGAAATGTTACTCAATAGTTCTATCTTCTCTGATCTTGTTGTGCAGTCCTAGGTTTGGTATAGCACATGCACTTTGTTTGGGTCTTGCTCCATGGCTTGCTGCAGAGATTCCCATTCTTGTCGATTCTGGTATGATCAAGCACAAGGATGACGCAGCCTCATCTAATGAGTCTTAGCATTTCTGATGTTAAAGGTGTACCTTGAGTTTCAGAAATAAACTCTCAGGCATAATTATACATTTTTACCGAGTGGCTCTTGATAGTGTCTAATCTATCTGTTATGATCAGATAGATAATGTTGAAACTTCTTATTACTTTTGGAATGCAAATAGGATCTAATATTATTATCAAATGCATTTGTCAAGATTGATTATGTTAAGTCTGTCAAAATTTAACTCTTTCCTTTAAGGGGTGGGTGCTTCTCCACTCCTTGAATCAAATCCAGCTGCTGCATCTCCTCTCTATTATGATCCTATACCTTACCTCGCCAAAGAAAAAAAAAGGGAAAATGTGCGTGAGACCGAGTTGTGGCTCCGTGGCTGTATTTTAGACTGTCACTATTAGATTATCATTTATTTGCACAAGAAAAATGCCACTACCTTCGTGGTCTAAAGGATGGGCCAAAACCAGATTTGGTGATTGATTATTCGTCGTGCTAAACCATCCTTGGATGGTAGGTTAAACTACTTAAAATTTGCAGCAGGATGAAGAAACGAACTTATACAAGTTTTACATCAACAATTCATTGTCACACTGAAAAAAAACGGGCGACAGTCATATCACAGCTTTATTTCCATAAATTACTTATACAAAACAAGTGAAATTGTTCCGCCCACAGGCTACTACCACAAATGCTGAAATAACTAATAAGAACCTGCACAACTTAGATAACAGTGAAACCAATGAATGCCTAGCAAACTAGCAAAGCCGGGCGGAACCAAAATCCATAAAACATAAAATTTAGCCTGCTTTTTTGTATGCTCGAGTCCAAGTAAATCGCAGAAGCAGATCAGATGGAAATGGATGGTATGCCAAATAGATACTACTGTATCTTCTTGCCACCCTGGTGTTACCTGCAGTAAGAACAGGAAGAACAGGGCCAAGAGTTATTTTGCAAGTAGCAATTTTATGGTTCTAATTTGGCATTAAGAAAAAGATTTACAAATGCCCAATTCCACCAACTTTATGCAGGATTCATATCATCCACAGTTATGTCCAACAACTACTACTTACTAATTTCCATTCGTATTATCCACAGTTATCTCCACCAACAGAAGATTAGGGCACGACTAAAAATCCATTATGGAGAACCATAAAAAGAAAAAAAGAGAATGAACTAAATCCAAAATCAAATCTAATACCATCGGGGACTGTTTATAGGTAAAATGAAAAGAAGCAATGAGAAAGAGTCTTACCTATGAACTTGAGGAGCTGGCTCCAGTGTCCTTTCTTTTTTGAGGTATTGATGTTCCCACATAACCATATGGGATGTGAGATATCTTCTGCCAATCCTCTCCTTCCCCTTCCTTGCATCGTTTTTCAAGTTCAGGACAATCTTTAATGGAAAGGTGTTGAAGATCTTTGAGTTGCTGGATGCCTTCTGGAAGAGACTTTATATTTTGACAATCTGAAATTGTCAAAGATCTTAGTGAAACGAGGTTGTTTACCTTTGGCAGTGCCATGAGTTTTGGACAGATACGAATTTCCAGATTTTGTAGCATCTTCATATGTTCAACTCCTTCTGGCAGAGATGCTAATTGTTGGCAACTTAAAATGGTCAAGCTCTTAAGTGCCAAGAGATTTTGTAGACCATCTGGTAGAGAAGCCAGATTCGAACAAAACATAATTGTTAGGCACTCAAGGGCCGTGGCATGTTGCATTCCTGTTGGCAAAGAAGTCAAGCCCGCACAATTTTCAATAGAGAGTGATCGGAGTGAGCTCAATCTTTCTAAGCTTTTCTCTGGCAGAGTACTTAATCTAGGACACTCGATAATATCCAGTGTCTCTAGAGAGATGAGATTTGCGAATCCATCAGGCAAACTTTCTAGCATCTCGCAAAAAGCAATTTTCAATGACTTCAGACCTGTGATTTTCCCAAAATTAGCTGGCAATGTTTCAAGGCTGGGACAAGAGGTAACTGTCAAAGAAATAAGAAAGCAACAGTTTCCCAGCAGTACTTTTGGTATGAAGAAACCGATCCCTCGAAAAGAGTCAATAACAAGTGTCAAAAGTGTTCTCAGCTCTGTTGCTGATCTTAGTAACAATGGATCACAGTCTTGCACCACTAAGTGTTGAAGAGTTGGAAACCATGGCATTGTTTTTAATAATGGACATTTCATGATGGATAGTCGTTTGAGGCAAGGGAAAACTTCTGTTGAACCCATGCTTTCCCAAGTTCTAAGTTCAGGAAAGTCTCGGAGGGTTAGTTCATTCAATGATGGAAATGGCCTCATTCCTCCACCAGAGAACTCATCATTGATTTTCACCACGTTGTCCATCCCTTGGATATTGAGACACTTAAGGTTTGGAAGTTGGCCAAGATGGGGGAGAGTTTCACAACTTCTGCAATTGGTTAACTCGAGCTCTGTCAAGTTGCTGATAGCATAGGTATTCATCCAGTGTGGGAATTGCAGTCCCGGATACCCATTTATTGACAACTTTCTTATATGGTGGTTTGGCTCAAACAAATTCATCCAGCGTTCAGATTCAGCTTGGCTTTCTCTGGTTTGTCTTGATATGTTACGATTTAACTTAACATCATCACCATCACCCCAAAATAGTCCCAATGTGTGAAGTTGCACATCCCTCGGAAGCACATCCCGATCGTACCTGGATCTAGCATTCTCAAGGTGTTTAATTTTCAACTCACCTCGAAGATTTTGTAGGTCATTGAACATGAATAAAGGCCTGCCAGCAATAACTATGGGTAAAGTCTGAAGCCTCTGTATACAACCACTAGGAAAAACAGGCAAGCGAGCAAGCCTTACACAACCCTTTATGTTTAAATGTATCAGCTTTACTAACTTTATTATCTCTTTAGGTAACTCTAGCAGATCAGTGCATCCTGAGAGATCAAGTGTTCGCAAATTGCACAGATGACCAATTGTCTCTGGTAATGTTTCAAGAGGAGTGTTTGAGAGGTCAAGATATCTCAAATATATCAAATCACCAATGGATCTATGCATCTTTTTTATGCCACTTCCATTCAAATTCAGAATTTTAAGGTGCCTAAAATGCGAATATAGGTTTCTTAGGGATTCCATTGATATTTCTCCAGAAGCCAACAGGCTGAGGGTACACAATTTATGTGCGTTGTGCAAGACTTCTGGTAGCATATTGGACCTGTAATCACTATCAACCAATGCATGTCGAGTTTCTGCAAAATTGCCACCACCAACTCCTTGTGCTTGATCACTGTTTTCTATTGTCAAGAACTCATTTCCAGCAACAGATTTGGCAAGATCATACATCAGATTAGGCACTTTAAATTCTACCACATTGGTACTGCTTGCAAGTTGGAAAAATTGCATCTTCAGTAAATCATCGAAGCACTCATTGCCAATGTCCTCAAGCATGTTAGGATGATCACCTGCAGATAATTGAACAAAGCCTCCCGCAATCCACTGTTGGATTAACTTTTCCTTATTCAAATGATAATTTCTAGGAAATATGGCACAGTATGCAAAGCATCGCTTTAAATGTGATGGCAAATGATTGAAACTCAACCTCAGGACAGATAATATTCTTTTCTCACCTGCATCGAGGTTCCATAGATCACTTTTTTGCACACGCGACCATTCAGCTTCCTCTCTTTTGGATCGTAACATGCGACCAAGAACTTTAGCTGCTAAAGGCAAACCTTGGCACTTCTCTACAATCTGCTGACCGATAGGCAATAGATTTGAATAGGAATCTTCTTCCCCATATGCAAAGGCATGCTGCTTGAACAGGGTCCAACAATCATCTTTGGTTAGGGCTTCCAAATGGTGGGGAAGAATACTACTCATTGCAGAAGCAACTTCTTCACTCCTGGTGGTGACTATAATTTTGCTTCCTTCAGCTCCACATCTTAACAGGTTCCGTACTTTATCCCACTCTTCTTGGACATCACTCCACACGTCATCCATCACAAGTAGATATCTCTTTCCATATAATGAGTCTCGGAGTTGGGATTGCAGAACACTCATCACGGAGGATTCACACCTCTGCTCAGTCACACACTCCAAAATTTCACTTAGAAGCTTCTTTGTGCTGAAATTTTTATACAAAGAAACCCAAATTTTCTTGTCAAGGTGCCCATCCAGATTCTGATCATTGTAAACCAATCGAGCAAGTGTCGTCTTCCCAATTCCCCCAATCCCGACTATTGGAATCACCCAACTATCAGCATCGGATGATAACAGCAAATCAACAATCTTCTTCACGTCTTCTGTTCGACCAAAAATTTCTGATTCCTCCAGCTCCGAGTACGATCCAGTTTCCCGCTTCTCCATAGTATCTGATCTTTTATAAGCTACAACTTCCTTGAATTGGAAGTCAGACATCTCTCTTGCTATTTCGTCCAATCTTTCAACAATCTTTGTCAGCCTACGTGATATTTCAAAGCTACTTAAGATTGACTTAAGAGTGAAAGAAGTGTCCCGAACCTGCTTTCGAGTTTCTTCATATATCGATGCCCCAATTCTTCTAAACTTGTTTTTTACTGGATTGTCCATGACCATCTTTCCTTTTCCCTTTACCAACTGTCTCCGCAAAACTTGAGTGGTGATTTCATCCAGGAGATCATCCGCATCGTAAGCCACATCCCTAAGCTTTGATAGCCAAATCTTCACCTTCTTATCCTTCAGTTGTCTCTCCTCTGCATCTTCGATTACAGCTTGAATGATTAGCAGCTTTTCTTGTAACTTCTTGATATTCTTCTTTTTATCTTTGGAAGTTTCCACAGTGCTGAGATAAGAAGCCAAATTCTCATAGATCACCTGTAGAAGAGGGGATACAATTAAGGAAGCGACTTCCATTCCTCAAGTGGGGGTTTAATTTTGACCCAAGGTTGCGGCAAATTCAGGGATGGCCTTAGATTTCTAACAATAGCTACGGGTGAAGGATGGTCAAAGATAAGAGCAGAAGCTAGGAGAGAGGGAAGACAGCTGCAGACGGAACAGATAAGAGTATGACAGGGAGATGACCAATGGCTGACGTCAAGATCCAGTTGTTAGGATGAGTCGAACTATGTAAAAAGATCCAATTTTTTATAAAAAAAATAACTTTTTAAGAAAAAATGTCATTTTTTGAAACTATATAAAAAGTAATTTTGACAAATAATAAGTCAGTGAACATCTTTTATAGTAAGTATATATTTTATAAATTAAGTTAATATTAAAATCATCTTATACTAAGTATAATTTTTTGTACACTTAATTTAATAATAAAATATCATTATCATACTAAAATAATAATATCAACAGTTAATAATCCATTTTAACTTGTCAATTAATACATCTTAGATAATATTAAATATATAAAATGATTTTTTATAACATACTACTAAAGTTATAAAAATAGAAAGTGACTAGTGTTCACATCTCGAGCACTGTCGTGGATTTTTTTTTAATTATTTTAATATTGAAATGTAAGAAAATATGTTAGATTATAACAATAAATCATACTTTTTAAATTGATAATATAAAAATTTATGTTTAAATAAGTATTATAATATAAAAAAATTAGGTATATGATTGACTTATAGTTTACTTTTTTAAAAATTATTTAAGGAATAATTTAGAGATAATGTAACTTGTGTTATTGAGTCAAATAAGTTATAATGAACATTTTATTTAATAAATATGTTAAATTTAGATTACATTAAACACTAAGTATATTTATCTATAATTAATCGAATTCATAAATATTATAGATTCATAAATGATAAAATTTATAAATAATTAGATTTATTAATTTTGAATTTAATTTATAATTAATTAATAATAAATATGAATCTAGACTTAAAATTTTAAATAACACGAAACACTAAATACATTTATTTATAATTAATTGAGTTTATGAATATTATACATTCATGAATACCTAAATTCATAAACAATCAATGTATTTTTTAATATTAGATTAAATGTTATTAAATAAAATTTGATGACATGTAAAAAAAAAACTAAAATGATAATTAAAATAATCCAAACATGATAAAAATAAAGCTGATATGATTGTATCTATGTGTCATAAAGATAGACAACGTAGAATAAAAACATATTTATATTATATTTTAAATTTTAAGATTAAAAGAATGTGGTTTAATGGACTTATATGATTTATTAATTTCTAAAATAGTTTTATACGTGATAAACCTCATTGATTTAAAAAAAAATCAAAATGATATTAATTTGTATATAGGATTTCTACTACTTTTTAATTTTTATATTTTCATAATTTCAAAAAGGGATTTTAAAAAATGGAAAATTAGTTATCAATTTTGTAAGTTTTCGGTTGACAAACACCAACTCCAACCAAGAACTCCTTTGAAAATGAGTTATGGGCTAAATCTTGGGCCATCTGGTTGGACTCAGCTGAAGTTAGGTTCATATCTAGTCTACTGCTAAGTTGGGTTGGGTAGTAATTATTTAGATTACTTGAACAGCCAATTTAAAGGCCCATGATGTTAAAAAAGTGGTACTATAATTTTATTACTTTTTGTTTGATCATTTCAACCAAATGTATTAAATTTTTCTTTTTATTACTTATGGGCATTGAAGCCAATTACTGTATATCTTATCACTGTTCACTAGCTAGGGATTATACACAACCGTTTGGGTATATATATTATAATTAATTAATTTATGTAATTATTTTTAAAAAATAACATTTTACAAGTTTAAATTTCTTTTTTATTTTTTTCAGATTGTAATTTAAAAAAAAAATACGATGTGGTATGAAACACCGTACATATAATCACGTGTAGGCTGTAGCCAATAGCTTTGGCATCAAGTCAAGATTGTTGAGTTTGATTAATAATTTGGTCTTACCTTATTCGGTTTGGTGATTAATCAACTGTTGAACTTTACTTCCCCCACCTACGTTTCCTGGTATGACAGATATTTTGTTCTATATCTGATATAGAGAAAACCAAAACCAGTTGGAATGTTTAGCTATCAAAGTTAAAGTTAACGTATTAACAAGTAGACTACATTAGTTTTCATCAATATAATTGTTTAACACTCATTCAGGATCATGCAAACGTAACCACTTGTCATTTTGCTTTTAGTCGAAGTATGCAGCTGAAGTACTGATAATATTAAAGTATTTGATCATTCCTTGAACTGGCCAGCTCCTAGCTGGGAAGAATCAAACTTTGTTGAAGAGAGGAATCGCGTTGGAATGTCGAATCCGTATCCAAATGATCTATAGCATGCACAGATAATTCCGGGCAAAAAGCTGCTACCTAATTTGTTTGTCTTGAACAGTGCTGCGAAACGACAGCTCAAGAATTAATCTACGAGCGACAACTTGTGAAGGATTCTTGGAATGCACTACAATCATTCATGTACTAAAATGAAAACAAAGAAAGCTTTCAAGCTAAAGCTTCCCTAGTTGGAAAACCTCAATCTTCACTCTAAGAAAATTTTCTGAGAATCATTAAGCACGACTCCAAGTACTAAGTAGACATCTGTTATTGCTTTTGTAAAACACAATGTTGCAGGTACTTGTCCCATGGATTTTTAAGAGAAAAAAAAATGAAAAAATTTGCAAATTAAAGTATATTATATACCCTATTGAGCAACAAGGTTAGATTGCCGGATTAGATTTAGATATGGTAGGTCTTGAAATTAGATCGAAAGTATTATATCTTTTCTAGAGTTGTGATAATTTGCTTTTAAACATTCTTTTGATGTGATGAAAGAATTTACTTTTTAGGGAGGAGGTCTGAAACTTTGAGATCTTAAAGATTCAAGTTTTACAATATGTGAGATTAATCTAATTTTATATTGAATTCATCGAATTATATGTTATTTTGTTGATTAATTAATTTTTTATTTATAATACTTAAATATGATTAAAATATTTTTTAAACTAGTTATTTCATTAAAAAAAGTTACTTTTTAATATATTAAAAAATATACATAAAACATTATGATTTTACTGATAAAAATTTGATTGAGATTTTATATCAAGATATAATCCTGAAATGTAAGTATAATTAGGGATGATAAATATAAGTTGAGATGAATTTTTGCTCGTCTCAAACTCGATGCAATTATATATATAAAATTTGAATTTAACTCGATTTTATAAATTTTTAATTTTTTTTATATTCGAATCTAATCTGATATAATATAAAATTGTACTTGATCTTACTTAATTTGAAATTAATCAAATATGTTTTAAATATGAAATGTTATTTTTAATATAAATATAAAATTAAATAAATAATTAAAAAATAATTTTATATATATTAGGCTGAATTAAATCAAATTTATTTAAAATTTAACCCAACTCATTTCAATTAAAAAAATATTTAACTTTAAAAAAATCAGATTAAATTAAAATCCATCCGATTCAGTTTGGACTACCTTCCCTAAATATAGTTGGCTGTCCGCGATTAATTTGTAAGAAAAGTTGTGGCAACCACAGACCCTGAAAATTTGGAAATCCAATCCCCTTCGCACATTGCCGCACTCATGTTATCTCTTTCCTCACTGTATCTACCTATCTCTACATTTGTGTAAAACAAGAGCAGGCCCTTAATTCCTTCAATTATCATCCAATGGCCAGAAGCGGTCCACGATGTGACGCTGCCGATCTTTAGTTAGATGATGAAAACCAAAGGTATACAAATTAGGAGAATCAAAGGGACAATGACGCTTTGATACTTTCCTTTGATTTTATTACAGGAATTCCATGTCATTATCCAATTTTGTCTTTATTAGGCTGAGGTGTGGAAAGTTTGAAATAATTGATGTATATAATTATTTTAAAAATATTATTCTCAATAAATTTATTATTCAAATGTGAACAAATAATTTTTTTTCTTGTGATTTTTTATTAAAAAAAGTAAATAATTAAGGTTACGGTCCGTTTGTTTCTTAAAAAATAATTTTAAAAAAATATTTATATCTTTTGAATTAAAAGAATTTTTTTTATTATTTGGATAGTTAATGAAAATATTCTCTATTATTTGATTATTTTTTGAAAATTTTATTTTTAAAATAATATTAATATAATTATTAAAATATTAAAAATTATTTATTATTAAAATTATTAATATTAAAAATAGTTATATTTTAATAATAATATTTATTATTAAATATTATGTTAATATAAAAAATACTTAAAATAAAACTATTAATTATTTTTATATTATTTTTAATATATTATAATATTATTTATTAATAATATTTATTAATATGTTTTATTAATAATATACTATTTATTAATAATATATTATTTGTTTATATATTATTATAATATTTATAATATTATTATTTATTAATATAATATTATTTATAAATAAAATTATATTTACAAATATTAATAAATAATTTTACTCATAAACAATTTTTTATAAAAAAATATCTTCTCTTTTCATAAGATAATTTTTTAAAAAATAATCTTATTTTTTATTAACTAATCAATTTTTTTATCAAATATATATTTAAAAATATAGAAATTATTTTTTATAAAACAAACAGGGCGTTAGTTTGGAGCAGTAAAATAAAGTCAAAGAAAGGAACGTGGATAAAACGTGCGTTCCAGCAGCTAATCAGAATTCAAGAAAACAAAAGCACAATCGACTCCCACTTTCTCTCCTAATCGCCAGCCCCCATTACTCCAATTTCCCCACATTTTTGTATTTCTTTTTTCCCAAACAGAAAACTTGAGTTGATTTTCGGTCAATTATTTCATACCGACTCTAAAGTCTAAACCCACCCCTGACCCTTTCCTTTCTTTCCCCTTCCTCCCCTGCATCCTTTTCCAACCAAAACAATACCAATTCAAACCACACGCCTTTCCCTTCTTTTCTAGGAATAAAAGGAAAGCCCATTTAAGCTCACTCTCTATTTCTCCCTTTAATTTGGGTTTTTGGGTTTTTACTTTTTGGGGTGGTTTTAGATCGTGAGCTTTTCGGTTTTCAAAACCATGGCGGTTTCTTCTACTTTTTCCGGTGCTAAATTGGAGACTTTGTTGGTCAATCCTTGTTCATCGTCTTCGGCTTCTTCATTGCGGGCTTATTTCCCTTGTCAGCAGCAAATGAAGGCATTCTTCAATCCTAGTCTTGGAATGAAAGGGGTGGTTCAGAAGAGTGGAGTTAGATGTGAAGTTGCTCAATCGGACTCCGCTTTGGAAGGCGAAAAAATCGATCCTTCTAAGGCTTCTGTACTCTCCGCTCTTGAACAGCTCAAGACTTCCGCAGCTGACAGTGCGTTTATCTTTAATTTCTTCTAAATTTTCTTCTTTTTTCCTCATTCACTTCGTGTTATTCAATTTTAGATTTGATTGTTAGTTGTTATTTGATGAATGCACTGCCTAATGTGATCTGACTGAAAAGTTTCAATTTTTTGAATCAGACCTGTTTGACTAGTTCATAATCTTTAGATATTTAGAATCAATTGAGATTAAGAAACCCACAAAATAAGTATTAGATACTTGTGTTTTGTACATTTGTATAGTATTGATCTGTGTGATATGAAAAAAATATTATTGCAAAAGAATTGTGGGTGTGTTTTCTACCTACTATGCGTACAATTGCTTGCTTTCGCTTCTGTTAGTTGATTGAATGGGAAAAAAAAAAATCAAACTTTTAGCTATGCCCTCAATATAGATCCTACTCCTTAATATGTATCTTGAAATTGTATGATCAAAACCATCATCAATCTCTCTTCTTTTTCAGTGTAATAATAGCTAGTTCCTGAAGTTTTTGTTTTGAGTCGGGAGGGAAGTGTTTCCGTGAACAGACTCGTAGAATCGATAGATGATAGTTGCTTGCAAAGGTTCCCTACTTTGCAAACTTGGTTAAATTGGCATAATTTTATGGCCTTAATGTCTGGAAACTTCTAAATTTTAAGCAAGGAATATATGTATGATGCTTTTCATCTTTAATTTAGAACTCAAAATATTTGAGTCCTTTTTCAGGAATTTAATTAAATGTAAAATGTATAATCCTTTTTGCAAAATATAAATGTTAGTTTTCCTGTTACAAGTGTCTTAATGAAAATCTTGTGATTGGTCCATTCTAGGATATACAAAGGAAAGGAACAGCATTGTGGTCATAGGGCTTAGTGTTCACACTGCACCTGTGGAGATGCGTGAGAAACTTGCCATTCCAGAAGCAGAATGGCCACGAGCCATTGGGGAATTATGTGGTTTGAATCATATAGAAGAGGCTGCTGTTCTTAGCACCTGCAACAGGATGGAAATATATGTTTTGGCTCTATCTCAGCATCGTGGAGTCAAAGAAGTAACTGAATGGATGTCAAAGGTACATTACTCTTTGGGCTTTATAGTTTGTGATATTTAAGTCCATAAAATTAGTTTCATGAATCAATTTTATGTGAAAACCTTAACTCTGGCTGTAGTTGTTTAACTAACTACAATTTGGTTGCAGACTAGTGGCATCCCAGTTTCAGAGATTTGCGAGCACCGATTTTTATTGTACAACAAGGATGCTACACAGCACCTCTTTGATGTATCTGCTGGTCTTGACTCTCTAGTTCTTGGAGAAGGTCAAATTCTTGCACAAGTTAAACAAGTTGTCAAAGTTGGGCAAGGTATTGTTGGCTTTGGAAGGAACATTAGTGGGCTGTTCAAGCATGCAATTACTGTTGGGAAGCGGGTTAGAACAGAGACTAACATTGCTGCTGGGGCTGTTTCTGTTAGCTCTGCTGCTGTTGAACTGGCTTTGATGAAGCTTCCCAAGTCTGCACATGCTACTGCTCGGATGTTGGTTATTGGAGCAGGAAAGATGGGAAAGCTTGTAATCAAGCACTTGGTAGCAAAAGGTTGCACCAAGATGGTGGTTGTTAACAGAAGTGAGGAGAAAGTTGCGGCGATCCGTGAGGAGATGAAAGGTGTTGAGATTATTTACAGACCCCTCAGGGACATGCTTGCTTGTTCAGCTGAAGCTGATGTGGTCTTCACCAGTACAGCATCAGAAAGCCCATTGTTTTTGAAAGAGCATGTCAAGGATCTCCCCCCTGTCAGTTCTGAAGTTGGTGGTTTGAGGCTTTTCATTGATATTTCTGTTCCACGAAATGTTGGATCATGTGTCACAGATGTTGAAGGTGCACAAGTTTACAATGTTGATGACCTGAAGGAGGTTGTAGCTGCTAATAAAGAGGACCGGCTACGAAAAGCAATGGAAGCTCAGGCCATTATTGCTGAGGAATCAAAACAGTTTGAAGCATGGAGGGATTCGCTGGAAACTGTTCCTACCATCAAGAAGTTGAGAGCCTATGCAGAGAGAATTAGAGCTGCAGAGTTAGAAAAGTGCTTATCAAAGATGGGTGAAGATATCCCAAAGAAAACAAAGAGGGCTGTGGATGATCTTAGCCGTGGTATTGTGAATAAACTTCTCCATGGTCCAATGCAGCACCTGAGAAGTGATGGTAGTGACAGTCGAACTCTGAATGAGACCCTCGAGAACATGCATGCGCTTAACAGAATGTTTGGCCTTGAGACAGATATATCTCTTTTGGAACAGAAAATTCGAGCCAAGGTAGAACAAAGCCAAAAGTAAGCATCAATATGAATCTCTCACATTACAATTAATAATACTTCCTCACAATCGAATAATAAGAGGAAATCTCCTTACATTGTCACAAGTGTTGGTCTGCTGTAATCGAGTAACCAATCAAATTTATGGTCCTTGCACCGAATCTTACAATTCATTGGTTGATGTAAGACATTTTTGCTTGACACTTGTTTGGCTTCTAATTCATACGGCATGTTTATTAGTGCTCTTTCGGCATTGTAGGGTGCAGTATGAGGTGAACTTGATCTGTGTATCGATTCATTTATAGAATTTATGATATCTATGAGAACAGTATTAATCATTGTAATTAATTTACTACTTATTTTAATATAGAGCTGATCATTTCTGTAAATGCATGTATAGGGATTTTTCATATTTTTGTTAAAGTGAAAACCGGCAAATATCAAATTTGTGTTGAATAGATGTATACTTTTGCTTTCTGGAATACCTGGCTGTTCTAGTTGGCTGCAGTTTGTAATGATTTAGTACAACATAGTTGTGTTATTGCCTGAGAATAACTCATGAATATTAAGACCCAACAATGCTACTCTAAACCCTTTTTTAGGCTAGGAATACTGAAAAGGCTAGGAATACTGAAAAGAATGTATCTTTAAGCTTAATGAAATTTTTTTGAAAAGGCTTAATTCATGATGTTAATTATAGGTCAATGGAGAGTGGTCTGCTTATTAGGGATACGAATGGAAGTTGAATGGAATACCAAGATATTGGACTATAGGCTATGGGCTATGGGCTTTTGGGAAAGCTGGAAAGGTCTATCTCTTGCACCCGAAATGCCTGCCTCAAACTTTGCCATCTGTTCTCTAAAATAAGGAACGAAGCTAAAATGCACTTGCCCATGATTGCATCCGGTTACTGCTTCAGATGCACCGCATGACAAAGAAAATTGTAGGGAGGGGCAGGTGCAAACAGAAGCCTCCATGGCAGACAATTTCGTTTTCACGGCATATCCTACAGATTGTGCTTAGATTTTAGTACTGGTTCCAAGGTAACACGACACATTTGCTGTAACTCCCTACACTCCAAACTTCTTTTTCTTTAAAAACCAAATGGAAGACACAAAAGGGTGACCCAACAAATGTCTCATTGCTGCAATTGTTAACCTGAGGAGCCAAATTGACAACAGTGAGACTCCAAACTCCAAAGGAATCCCGACTGTACATTAAGCCAACCACTACATTAAGGTCCTTGAAAACCACATGGTTCCTCAAATATCAGGTTAAAGACCACACAACTATTGGTAAACTAATTAGCAGCATTATTCCTTATTCTCCAATAATGATGATAGAAGCGTTATAATAGGACCATTTTTTTGTCATGTGGCATGAAATGACAATATCCCAAGGCCAAGGACAAACCATCTTTGACTAGGAAGTTGGAATCCAAGGACAACCGAGTGAAAATGAGAAGACGTGCAGGTTTTTGTAACCACCGATTGCCTTGTCTTTCATTATAAACCGCAATTTTGGGTCCATGATGTTTTTATTCCTTGGAACAAGATATGTATCATTCTTTGTCATTAGGTGGGCTAATAATACTAATTGCGCAGCTCAGAGACTTGGAAGCTACGGCAAATTATGAATGATATTGGCATTTGGATTTAAATCCCATGAATATCATCCATAAGTTTTGAAGTACAATGCCAACTTCAGTTTTAATCTTAGCCTTGCGTTGTTAAATCTTTCAAATTAGGAATTTGGAACTTCCCTGCAAGAATCTCTAGGAACTTGGTGAGTTACAAAGGAGCCCAAAATCAGAAAACATGAGAATCTTTTTGGGTCTTTATGGAAAAGAAAGAAAAACCCAATTTTCTCTAGTTCTAGAATTCAACGATATCGGATATCATAATTCTCTTGAAATACATTAAGGGAAAAAAAAATGTACTTCTAACAATAAAAAGTAACAGCCATGTTCCTAAAGAGAAGCAAGCGTGGACCTTCCTCGGCTCCCGTCATTGTGGGTAACTGGTAAAAACTCTTTTTAACTTGATGTTACCTGATCTGAGTACTACTACTTCTGCTAACCAAGGATGGAAAGCTTGCTTGAGGATATGGACCCCACAAAGGGTCACATTATGACATCTACATATGTGCCGTTTACTGTGTCTGATCTTTTGGTTTTGTGAAGAGTGTTGTCGGAGTTTCTGATCTGTGATACGTGGGGCCATGCACTGCGTAGTGAACCAGACTGAGGGTAGCTGTTCAAGTACAGATCAGCGAGAGCTGTAAACATATTACTACAAGAGAGGAGAAGAAGAAGAAGAAGAAGAAGAGCACAAATTAAGCCCTGCTTCAATGCCAAATTTAAGGACATAAAAAACCACGGTGGGAGATTGTGATTGATTGGCTTTGAACTCTACATAAACCTACTGTCATTCCCATTGGCCATTGCCATCCCTGATCCCACCCTTCCTTTTTAGAAAAGTATTCATCTCCAATTGTGACTATAATAGCATGAAAAAAAATGAAAGATAGCAGAAAGCATAATGGTAATATGGGGGCTGAAGCTGAAGCCCATCATCTCTATCATCAGCCTATATATAAAAAAAAGAGGGTTCAGTTGTATCATAATTCAGAATATCAAAAGCAAAATAGTAATAGTAGTAATAAACAAAGAGAATATAATAACAAGAAAATGATTCATTCATGATTACCATTTTCAAGTCCTAGCTACTCCAATCATTCATACACCATCTCCTAGCTTTTTTATACCTGATCACCATCACACCAAACCCCCCAAAAGGATAACATTATAAACTAAAAAGTTAATAAAAATTTGGTGATTAAAATTTTATTTTATCAATATAAAATTTAATTTAATTAATTTATACAATTATTTTTTATTATTTTATATTTCAATTCAATTGATTTACTTAATTATTTTTTTATCTTTTTATATTTTAATTCTATTAATTTATACAATTAATTTTTATAGTTTCCTCTTGATTTATAACTTCAAATGTAAATAAAATTTCACTTGCCAAATAAGAAAATTATATAAAAAAAAAGGTAAAAGAAGAAAGAAAACCCATAACACTAGCATTTACAACTTTGTAAGATAATGATGATGAATCATGAAAATCTCTACCATTACAAATACAAACTTTTGCATTTTTTTTTCCTAGACAGAAGAAAATGGGGATTTTCATTTAAAGGAAAAAAAAAGGACAAAAATCCGAAAGATTTTTTTAATGGCAACCCAACCAATCAAATTCTTGAGTTTTGGCTTTTATGGTCCACAGCAGAAAGTCCCGCGCCGTCTGCAATCAGCTTGTCCCTCATTTTCCATTTTTCAAAAGGAAAATTAAAAAAAAAAAAAAAAAACTAAAATCTAGCATTTTCGAAGCCGTGTAAATCGCTGACTCTATTCAACGACTTCTTCATGATGGCTACTTTCGCCAACTTCTCAGCCGCTCTCCAAGCAGATGACGGCGTAAGTGGCTCCCCATTCTCATCCATCACCACCATCATTGCTTCCCTTTCTCTCTCCCTTTCGTTCACCTTCCGCCGTTGGATTTCCAACATCTGCTGTTTCCTCCAATGCAGTTCCGCAAGCTCAGCTTCTAACCCTCTGACATAATCCTCAGCCGACAGTGAATTCGAGTGCATCAACAAGGCTCGAGCCGAGGCCAACAAATGGTGAGCGCTTGACAAGTCGTTACCGCACTCAATCAACCTCCTCGCTTCGGCGATGGCTCGAGTCGTTATAAAAAAGAATCTCAACCGTTCGATTTGGGGAGCCGATGATCGAACGGAGTGGGGACGAGGTACGAGAAACGCTTGATCTCGGCCGTATACAACTTCTTGCGAAGCGGGGTCCTTGTAAAGACAGCGAACACACATCACGTGTTGGGAATCTATCTCCGATGTCGGAACTTTCAGTTCCACAAGTAATTCTCTTTCTTCCTCGGCGTACAAATCGCCAAGCCGCACCGAGCCAGAAGTTAAAACAGTAGGCTTTCCGTTACACGTATAAACGGCTGTGATTTCAGCTGGAGCTGAGCCAGATGCGAAGCTGAGCTGGATTCTCAAATCTTGGACCACAACGCTCAATAACCCACTAACGCATTTCGCAAAGGCATCCTCAGCCGGCTCATGGCTACATCCGCCTCTTTGCCCGAATCCGAACGCGTGAACCGGAATTTCAATGTGAGCGAATCGAGTGGACGACACGTGGCTTGAAGGATGCCGTTTACTTGCATCATTTGATTGGACTCTTTCATCCTGACCGTCGGATAACAACATAATGCTAGCAACTGGATTTCTCTCCCTGCGATCCTCAAGCACTTTCGTGGCTTTCTTCAACGCATCACCAACACTAGTTCCTTGACCGCAAACGAGCCTGTTAATAATGCGCCGAGCAGCTCCTTGACCCTGAACCGTCATTCTCCGCAAAGGTAATAACCGTTTTGGACTAGCCGAGAAGGCCACGATGGAAAGCCTATCAGCCGAGCCGAGCGAGGAAATAACTAAACGCATGGCGCGTTTCAACATCTGGAGTTTAGCACCTGTCATGCTTCCGCTCACATCAAGAACCGTAACCAGATCGATAGGAGCACGATGCGAAGGGTCCAAATGCGACACCTTATTGTTACAATTCCTCGAAGAAGATTGTATTTTTGCAGAAGGAGGTGGGGCCTTGATTTTTAAAGCCACGGCGTAAGTTTCGTATCCACGGCCCACTGAAACGACCGCCGTTTCAGGAGATAGTCTGACCTGGACATTCCTCAAATCACGGCCGTTAAATGGGAGTACTTCATCAGATTTGACCGCGGATGAAGGGTTGGGATTAACGAAGAACCCTTGGAACTCCCCAACGTCGTCGTCTTCTTCTTGTTCAATGTTTTCATCAGCTTCTGGAATGGGAATAAAACGACCACCGGCGGTTGGAGAAAGCAATGGCTCATCGTCATCGTAGGATCTTAAATCAGACGGTTTGGGTTTGGGTTTTGGTTCTTGTTGGTTGACAATTCTCGATGAATAAGATTCAATGCTTTTTTTCTCTTCGATTCTGGGGGTGGTGTTTTCAATTAGAACAGTGTCATTTTGAGGAGGGGCTGGGTTCTTGTGAATGGAGAGGAGAGGGACATCTTTCCAGCTGGTATTACAAACAGGGCAAACGAGGGAATCATGTTTACGAACATGAGCAGCTATGCATGGAAAATGAAAGGCATGTGCACATTCAGCTGTGTAAATGGCTGTTCCTTGACCCGTCTTCACGCTGTTCAAACAGATTCCACAACTACTCTGCCCAATTCAAACAAAAAACCAAAACTTTAGAACAAAAGGCCAACAAAGATTCAAAATTTAAATACATTTGAATGTTGAAATTCAGAATTGTGTTATTACTTACTCTGAACTTGAAACTGTTGCGGAAAAGTGAGAGCTTGAGAGGGGAACGAGGAGAGGAAGGATTTGATGAAAGAATTGGTTTAGGACTTTTAGTGGCTGCTTTAGGTGTGGTTTTGCATTGGAGAGGTAGGCTTTCATTTGTGGAAGATGGTTCAACAGCAGTGCGGCAACGGAGTCTGGGGCTAGAAACTGGTTGAGATTGAAAACGAGGAGTAGAAGGGTTACTTCCACTAGAAAAAAAGCTTAACTTTGCACAACTTCTGGGGCTGGGACTTGGACTCTGTTGTTCTTGTTGCTTGTCTAAAGCAGTGGCTTCAGGTTCTCTAGGGATTGTATTGCAAAAGGCTCTTCTCCAACCCATTTTTTCAGTGTCACCCCAAGAGAAAAATAAAGACTTTAAAGCTTAGAAGAACCAACAAAGAAACAAATACTCTCCTTTTTCCTTTTTTTTTTTTTCGTTTCTCGCTGCTGTTTTATAGAACTCCACCTTTATTTATCTTTTTCGATGAGATGAACAAAAAGAAAAGGAAAAAAGGGTTTTGTTTTGATCGATCTGAGGTTGCGACAGAAGACAAAAGGGAAGGATCAAAGCTTAACGATGTAAGCATGGTATCAAATCCGGAAAGAAGCAAAGTGACAAACTAGGGATTTATGATTTAAAAAAACCCCAGCTTCTCGTTTATCTTTCCCTTTTCTAGTTCTTTTTTGCTCTCTTTTCTTTCTAATTTCTACATCAATAGCCCGAAAAAGATCTCTGCAACGAAAAAGGTTTGAGATCTACGACTGCTCTCTCTCTCTCTCTCTCTTTCTCTCTCTTTGCTATGTCAAGAGGGAAGCTTTACTTCCACCGAATATTTATATTCATTGGAAATGGTAAGTACAGAAATTTTAACCTGTTTAACCGGCACGTGCTGGTTGAATGTTTACGTTACCGGTCAACGATCAGCCTCTCGTCCCCCTGACAAGAAAAAATATGGAAAAATCCGAAAATCTATTTCAAATAATAATATTTGATTTGGATCGATTTTTTTTATTTAATTTGAATCAAATTTAGATATTAAATATATATATTAAATTTAAATTTAATTTTAAATAAAATATAAAAAATTAAATTGAATTGAATTATATATATTTTTTAATTTTTATTTATATTTTTAATCTTACAAAATAAAATATAAAATATAAAAAATTGAATTGAATTATATATATTTTTTAATTTTATAAAATAAAAAATAATTTTATATCAAAATTTATTTAATATATTAAAATTTTATATTAAAATAATATATAAAAATTAATAAATTAATAAATTAAATTAATAAAATTTTATTCTATTCAATTTAAATAAAAATTCTATTCAAATTCTAATTAAATTTAAAAACTTTATAATTTTATATAATATTTTAAAAAAGTTCGATTGAATTCAATCCTAACCCAATGGTTATCACTCTAATCCTATGCCTGGCCCCTTCTCCCTTCGGTCTCCAGCACGTTATCCCCACCGACCTGTTAAAATCTTGATCACCCCACCATGTCTTCATGCTCCTTCCACTTTGTGTATCCCTCTCTTCACGCGCCACTTCGATTGGTGCACTGGAATCACAGTTCGTTCGTGTAGTACGTACTATTCCTTCTCGTCTCTGGCGAGTATTGTTGCAGAGTTGACATCCTTGGGTTTCTCCGTTATTCATGCATGATTCATATACGGCAAGTGTCAGCGGAAATTATATATTATACGCATGTTATGCATCTCATGAGCTCATCATACTTTTGGTTAGGCCTTTTATTCTACTAATCTTAGCCGCTGATCAGGCTGAATCATTGAGTGATGATGATCATGATCCTAACCGACTTCCACGTCATCATTAACCAATTTTAGTAGGAACCTAGGATGGCAGGCTGGCTAGACTGATTAAACTTTCGTAGTAAAATTAAGAAGCTTGATGTCAAAAGAGCAGCCGTTGCCAAATGGCAACTGTTTGAATATTAATCACTGTATCACCACATTGATTGCTAATGAAGAGTAAGAAAACCAGGGAAGCAGACGTGGAGGAGAGCGGTGAGGGGCTCAGACACCCACATGTTGGGTTCTTTTGTAGGAAGGTGTGGGTGTCTGGTCGGGAGACACAAGTTGGGTTCTTTTGTGGGAAGATGTGGGTGTCTATGGTTTGGAAACCACCACCTTGAAGGTCCACCCTGGCCCTTTGGGGAGGGACGGGTGCTTGGTGTCTCGACCATATGGGGATTCACCTCCTATTTCTTTGCCCGTTTTGTGGGGTTTGATCTCAGTCTCCGACCATGATTGTGGAGTCAAATTGGATGTTACACCAACAAAAACGGTATTAGGGGGGGGGGGGCAATGTTTAGAAAATCATTTTGGTCAGACGATAAAGACGCAAGTGTTTAGCCATATAGCATTTGGTTGCTTCTATTGAAATTTCATGAACAAAAAAGCTTTTCAAATACTTGTTTTAATGCTGCATTACCATGATTTGACACTAGTAAGAAAGTTGAATCCCCAGAGAAAAAATAAAATAAAAGGTAGAGTTCAAAAACTCTGATACCGTAGTAAATTACTTATCGAAGTTAACAAACCCAACCCCCAAAAAAATTAATTGCATCACGGATTTGGTACCTTCCAAAAAACAGCATCGCCCTCACAGAGTAAAACCCTTAAATCCAAAAATAATTAAAGAAAATAAAAAACTGAGTGATTTTGTTTTGGCGTTTGGACAGGTGGAAAGGCAGTGAGTTAGTGACTGAGTCAATAATTCCGACAGTCACGTGGGATCACTTTTCCCTATCTCTTTTTTGGTCTAAGTTGAACGCCGTTGCCTAAACTAAACCCTATGTTTTTTGCTGACGTTGTTTGTTTCATTCTCATAGGGAAGTGTGTTTTTGCCTTAACTCAGAGGGTTTTGTCAAATGTCAAACTCCTTCCAGGAATAAAGTATGATCCTCCCTCAATCTTAACCTAATCATTAATTTATTCGTTACTGTATTTTAATCATTTTTTAATCAGTCACTTTTTCATTTCTTTACTCCCTTCATTTTCTTCTAAACCAAACACTGCCATCTGAAAAACAACGAGAAGAAAGAAAAAAATTTTTTTTCCCTTTTCTCCTTTTGTTGAGTTAGAGGTAGGAGGGGGCTAGTGTTTTAAGTGATGTTTTAACTAATTTTCTTGTTTTCTAGTGCTTATGTTTTGGGAGACAACACTCAACTGCTAGCCAAGCTTTACTGCATGCCATTACATAGGGGATACAGAAACCAATAAATTCATGTAGCAAATTCAACTCCTTAATAAAGAATTAAAAAATGGAGCAATCAGTTGCTTAATTAATTATTTTGGGAAATTAAAATTAATTAATTAATTTTGGGTATCGTAGACATTTCCAAATTTGGGTAGGAATTTATCTAACAAATAGGTAAAATTGTTTTTTTTTTTGTTTGTGTGAAAAAAGGTTCAAATCCCATGTCTCTAGGGATTTTATGGGAACTTAAAAATTGATAGTTTGTGACAAGTTGTGTTACATATTCAACTTATAATTAATTATAAGTAGAGGAGATTAATTTAAATATTAAATCATAAAAAATTTAAAATTTAATGGGGAATAATATTATTTTAATAATTTGCTCCCCTCATAAGTAGACAAAAACGAAAACTTAATACATGATAAATTTGAAATAAATAACAGAAAGAATAACAAATAATAATAATAGAATAGAACCTGATTTTTAATATAATATCCTATATCTAATCTAAAATCAATTGGTTGTAAATAAAAAATTCAATTTAGATATAAAATCACTAAAAGTCTAAAATTTAATAAATATGAAATATACCATTTTAACAAATTTATAGATAAACTCATGTTTGATGCTAAATCTCAGTTAGGATTGGACAATGCAATAGTTGATTATTGACCAAATGTAATTATTTAAGAGTTTAAATATCTTTCCTGCTATTATTTACCATCATTGGTCTTTCTTAATCATGTCCATGAGATTAATGATCACATATGCAAATCTTATACATGAATCATGGAGTCAAGTTTTGATTACATGTTGCTAAGACAAATGTTTTAATATACAAAATAAAAAATTAAAATAATCAACAATAAATTCATTCAATTGATAAATTATTTATCTCGACTCGTATAATTTTAGTACGAACCTTATGAGCGTAAAACCAAGTGACCTTGTTTAAGCTTTATCATCTATATATGTTGAAAATTTTGCTTTAATTATAAGAATTAAAAATAAATAAATTATTTAATTTTTAAAATCAAATATGATGACTTAAAAAATAATAATTATAATTCATATATTCGAAATAATTCTAACATAATATCATAAACTAAATTCTAAATTTGAATCACTTAAATAAAAAAAAATCTTGCTAAGTAAATCACTTTCTTGTTGATAATATATATATATATATATATATATATGTTTCCCCAACGTTTACGCCCAAAATCATAGCATTTTGCATGGCAAAGGCAAGTGGAGAGTAATTATTGCGAGTAACGAGGTTGTTGAAAGCTCAAGCTGGTGGAGCCCACCCATTCTGCATTCCACGTGGAAATCAGAATGCCATGTGGGAAGCTCAGTCATCAGCAGCTTCCACGTGACAAAGTCAAAGATTTGTTGACTACGAAACTAAATTTTAACAAATTGGTCTCTGGATTTGTTCTCTTCTTGAAAATTCTTTTCTTCAAAGGGCAGGAAATGTTTTCTAACTTTTATTTTCTTTTTTCTTTCATTAAATGCATTGAATAAAATTTATTATTACTTTGTTATTTTATTCATGGTTTTAAAACAACGAAAAAGATATCATAAGATTTTTTGAGATTCTTAAAATAAAATTAATTTATAAATGTATTAATGATAATGCCACATGGATTTGACTTAATTGAGAGGTAGATATATTTGAAAATTATGTCAATTATCATGATTAAATATGTAAATGATATATTAATGCTCACAAGTTATTTAGTTTAATTTTAATAAAATTCAAATTTGATAAGATTATTATTGAGTCGAGCTCGAGTTACAATAGCTCAACTCATCGATCGAGCAAAATTTGAATATTTTTATATTCAATTTGAGTAATTCGTAAGTCTAATTAAATTTTTATATTTAAATATATTTTTATTATTTTAATTAATAAAATATCTCGAATTCGAGTTCGAGCATAAATAATCGAACTTTTATCGAATATAAACATCAAACTTATTTTTATATGTTAATCGAATTTAATCAAGTGAGTTCGAGTAATTTGATTTTTATATCGAATCGAGCTCAAACTAAAAAAATAAAAATCGATCGAGTTCGAGTAGAGTTTTAAATCTCGAATTTTTAATCGAGCTTGAACTCGAATTTGATACTATATCGACTTAAATTCGATCAATTGCATTTCTAATTATAATAATAGTTATAGGTTGAAAAATGATATGACAAAAAAAAAATCAAGCATTTATCATATAGAAATTTATTGAAGTTCGACATTTCTAATTCAATTATTGATAATATTTTATAAGACATTAATTTTAATTTAAAGTTTAATTTTTTTAAATTTGTAAAAAAAAAATCAAAGATTCATCTGTTAGCTCTTTATTTAAAAATCAAGAGATTGTATAGAAAGTTAAATAAATTCATTTTTTGAATTGTTGATTGGTACCAAATTCTTTCTATTTTTTTAATTAATTAAATATCATTTATTAAAAATATATAAAAAATTAATTAACAATAAATTTTATAATTTTATTTAAATTATAAAAAAGAATATCAGATAATATCATAAATCAAGTGAAGGAT